ATAAATATAAAATACGTAGTTATTTATCAACTATATATATTTTTATATTTATTTAAAATTATTACTAAACTTTTAAGGTCAAGTATTTCTTGCTACTTCATATTTAATTAAGAACTTTGATAAATTGTAAAAAAATCTAACAAGATATTATAAAAAGGCATGCAAATCGAATAACTATAATATTGCAAAAGTTAAAAAGATGATGAGAATGTACTTTTTTAAAATTAAAAAAGACACGAAACCAAGTGGAATAGCTTTTGGATATCAGAGAAAAAGTATTTTAATTCATTAAAATTTGTATTGTTCATATTTGAATTATTAAAACATTTTAAATTATGCAAAATAATTTTGCTGTTTACTGCACCACTAACCTGGCACACCAATATATTCAAAAGTTGCAGCAAAACAGCTCATCCATAATCTGTAACAGGTTAAGCCACTAATTTCAATCAACATCTAAATATGCCTTCTAGAGTTGATCTAAGTTAAAGTTGAATATATAAAAAATGATTTAAGGACAATAAGGGAAATAGATTTGATCAATGATTAATAGGTTATATGATAAATGCAGGTTTTAAGTAAGAAAGGACATTGCAGATGTATCTAAGAGATAATGGGGATAATATGTTTAATGGGTTTAATAAGTTTAATACCTTAAAGAATGCATATGTAATAGAACAATATATAATAAAGGCTTCGAGCCCTACAAGACAGTTCAGTTAGTACTTATTATAAATTTCGCCTCTAATAATTTTCTGTTTCATTGTATTATAAAACCTACAATTATAAATACACCACTCGCCAAATCTAACTGCCTCTTATTGACTAAGCCATTCGTAGGTTATACAACATACCCATTTGTCAAGCAACTGACACCTGTTTCGCTCATGTCACTACACTTTAAAGTTAATTTTATTTACTTCTGTACAATGGAATAATATTACAAGGTTCAAAGTCACATGAACAAGACAAGTTGGTCTGTTTAATAACAACAATAGACTGCAAGATGTAAGATTTATTTGATGTTACTGTGCTGATTAATAAAGCTTTATATAGTTTATTATGTAGAACTTTTGGACATTTATTTGCATAACATGAAATTTATTACTTTATTATTGTTATAAATAAAATAAACCTTTATTCATTATCTGAAGATAATTCTGTACTAGCTTGATTAATATCTATTTCATTTGCATAATTGTATTGACTTGCCGATGGAATAGTTAAATGAAAAGTGAGTTGATTAAGTGTCTTAATTTTCACCAAGACATTTTCACTGTAGGATGGCTTTTCTAGATTACGAACTGCAACCAAATATTTAATATGAATCTTTAAACTTTCAGCAACAAAGTTTTCAAGAGACTTGAGTGAGAAAGGAGACATTTTGAACTCTGAGAAATCACTAGCATCAAGATATTTGCTAAGTTTTGCCACCAAACTTTACTGGCAACAAATTGCTTGCTATTTTCATTAGTCGGATTACTATAATAAATAATTTTTAATTAATTATATATTAAAAAGTTTTATACAATAACAACTTATATTTACCAATTTTTAACAAGCAAATCTTTAGCAAGAGCTGCCATATCTTTATTGAATGTATGTTGAAAATTATCAAAATATTTACGTATCTTTTTGTTTAAGATTTTAAATTCTCGAGATACAAAATCCATTGATGAAATGATTTTTTTAATTAGCATTTCATGCATTTTTTTAGTAGAATTTTGTATATGTAAAAATAGAAGCTTGCACTGTTCTATAACCAGATTTGTTATAGCCACTTTGTCAAATGGTTCAGAAGTATTAACTTCATTCTAATAAATATTATATTTTATGTAATATAAAAATTGTTAAATTCATAATATAATGCATTTAAATATTAGGCTATACAATTTTAATAATCAGTTTTCATAATCTAGCAAGGTGAAATTTTTTTAAAAAAATTTTAAAATATTTATTATCTGAGTGAGTTTTTAAATTAAAAGCTAAGTTGCTAGTTATTTATATTATAAAAGCTGATTTATTAAATTTTTATAACATTATCTATTATTAAAGTATAAATAAGTAAACAAACCTTATGTAATAAAGAAGTCGTTGATAAGTTTTGAACTTGAATAATTAAATCTGGTCATGTACACAACCAATTGATTAATAATTCTTCATCTGAAAAGTTTAATTCTTGTGAATCAGTATTAGCAGTTGTATTATAAGACTTTTCCAGTAAGTATAAAGTATGTTGAGACTGTGTATCTTTGCTTGAAGTTTTTTCTCTATGTTGTTTATAATACTTTTGTGGATTGTTATTAGAATTCCAAGCAGAAATATTATGAGAAGTTGCTGGTGAGAATGAAGTATATTGAGATGTTGCATTTGGCATATCATGATAAGTTGCTGGTAAGGATAAAGTATATTGAAATAGTGTATTTGGCATATCACAATAAGTTGCTAGTAAGGATGAAGTATATTAAGATGGTGCATTTGGTTTGGAAATCTTTTCTTTACAGAAATTTTGTTGAGTTATAAAAGATTCTTGATCTTGATTATTATTTATTAAATCATAACTCATTAAAGAATGTGAGTCTGATATATCATCTATTGACATTGTAGTTACTTGTGACAAACTTCTATGTGGTTCTGGCATATTCAAGTTTCTGAATGTTGCAGATCCATGTTCATAAAATAATGCTGGTACTTGAGATCTATTTGCACTTTCGTTTGATAGTGTAATATTATAAGTTATATTTGAATTTAAAAAATTTGAGTTAATCAAGTTATGAGTTGTTACATACTCTGAATTATAAATTAATGCTAGATTAATATCATGTAAGGGTCTTGGATAATTTGAAAGACTTTTTGATATATAATTGTAAGCTAAGTCTTGATTTTGATGATGTAACCATGTTAAATTATTAGTTGGTGCAGTGTTATTTAAATTAAGTTGCTCAAGTGGTGCACAAGCAGAATTATTGTATTCTTCTAGAAGAATGAAAAGTACAAAACCAAAATTAATTTAAACTAAATAAAAAAAACTTTTTTTTATAATACCCTTTATTTGTTACTTTTTTTGTACATTTGTTAGATGCTGCTCTTGGCTTAGAAGTTTCATCTTCAGAAGAATTTAAAGATAATATTATTTGGTATTGCTATCAAAAGAGTTGTTATTATAAATACTTGCCAATAATTTTTTTTCTTACCTTAGTATTAGGTTTCTTCTTCATTTTAGGTTTAATAATTAAAAATGATTGTATGTAAAATAAATTAATATTTTTAATAATCAGTATTATGCAATGCTACTGATATAAAAATATTTAAAAAATATATAATGATCACAATAATAAGAGTAATACATATTTTACTTGGAATTTTTTTTATGTCCTAACATCAGCTTTCACTATTTGATGAATTTGAAACTTCTCAGTTTTGCTTATGAGCACCTAAAATTTCAAAAAACTTTATCTTCAAATAATGAAGATACTTTGACAACTTTACATCATTCTTCATTGCAAAATAATAATGATAACTCTCAATGTTGGCAAAATGCTAAAAAATCTAGCTTTATTGTTGAAAATTTTAATAATAATAATTTACAATCAAATAATGATGAATCTAATAATGATAATTTGTATAATTTGAGTTGGGATAATATTTAATATGAAAATAAGAGCTGTGATATTAACTTAGAAAGTTAAGATGACAATAAAACAATTCTTATTGATACTGATAATTCAGATAATTCATCTGAAATATTTGATAATATAAACTTTGATTTTTCATGAGATCAAGAATGTCAATTCGGGGCTTTTGAAAATTTCACAACTATGGCAATGTATATATGGGTTACAGTATATATGACAAGTAAGTATCTATATGAAATTTTAGTTTATTTATTATAATCTTTATTTTATTTTAGTTTATATATATATATATATATAAAAAAAACTCTTTTCCATAGATCACTTTACCAAAATTAGACAAAAGAAGAAAAATTTTATATCGAATATAGAGCAATAACTACTAAGTAAATCGGCCTTGGACCATTAAGTAAACTTGTTCTAAACAGTAAACTTGACCTAAAAGAGGTGCAAACCTCAGGAAAAAAATATTTACTAGCAGCCCTGAATTACAATAACATCAAAAACAGCACTGCAACAAACAACTCACAATTCAGCAA